GGAGGAGGAGGAGGAGGGGGAGGGGGAGGGGGAGGAGGGGGAGAAGGGGGAGGAGGGGGAGAAGGGGGAGGAGGGGGGGGAGGAGGACCTCCCCATCCTCCGTTCTCCCCCGTCCTACCCATGGTACTGGTGGTGGAAGATTGGCCCACCACGGTGTGCTAGGTCGAGGCCTGGCCACGGCAGCGCCAGACGAGAGCGCGGGGGGGGCCCCCTTCGCTGGGTGTCCAAGGGCCCCGCCGCGACAGCCCAGGCGAAGAGCAGCGCTCCAGGGCGGAAGGCCCAAGCCAGCAAAGGGGCACGGGTACCCCGGGGCTCCCTCGCCTGTGCTGGAGCTGTTCACCAACCTCCTGCCCGCTGCAGGATCACTCAGCATCGAAATCCAGGAGTCGGATCGGACCGAGGTGTGCGTCGGACCGGGCAGCATCGGCACAGAGTCGAGATCGAATCGGATCGGCTGCGCAAGGATGCACAACAAAACAATGCTTGCAAGCGTCGGGCCGCATCGGATTGTCGGGATATTTGGTAAATCGCTGTGTGGGAGCTATACTGCGGAAGATCTCATCTCTCTCTCACTCTCTCTCTCTCTCTCTCGGCTGCGAGACCGGGGGAAAGTGAGAAGGGGCGGGCCTTCTCAGAAGGCTCGAAGTCCCCTGGCCTTCTGACACCTACGTCTTCCCCGAAGACACAGCAAGCTTCTGAGAAGGCTGGAGCGCTTCTGAGAAGCCCCGTCGCCTTCCGACGGGGCCTTCGCCTTCTCTCCCTCCCTCCGCTCGCTCGCCGCCGAGCCTCTCCCCTCTGGAACCAGCCTCTGGAAGAGTTGCCCCCTCCCCCCCCCCTCCTCCAGAAAAACCCAAGGCCACAAAGCCACCTCCTCCCAGAAGCTCTCCCCCCCTCCCCCCCAGCTGCCTCCAGAGCCGAACTGCCCCCCCCCCCCCCCCCCCCCCAAGAGGCCCGATGCCGCCGCCGCTTGTGTCGGAGCGGCGCGCCCCCGACGTCCCTCTCCTCTCCACAGGGCTGGCGCCCCATCCCGAGTCGTGGGGGGCGGGGGGCAGGATCTGGAGCTCGCCACGTGCTCGACGGACTCCGAACCCCACCCTGAGGTCGGGCCTGTCCCCCTACAGGCGGACTTGGGGTGAAAACCAGAGAATAGTCAAAACATATAAACATGCTCAAAGATACAAAAAATATGCCTTGCTCACTATTTTTGACAATTCCCCCTGTAGAAGGACAGGCCCGACTTAACCCTACCCCCGCCGCCCACTGGGTCGACTGAACCGCTGCCCAGCGAGGGGTATACAACCCTCCTCGGAATCGAACGCAACGTTTTCCGTTCCGCGACGTCGCGGCACCCCAGGACCCCCAATCCACAATGCTCGCGTCGAAGCTGGCGGCCGATGTTCGTCGCCGGACCCCGCGGGCCAGACCTCCCGCGTCGCCGAACAGTGGGACTGGGGGCCCAGACCCCCGACGTCGTGACTTTGTTCGCAACGTCCGACCCCAGAGGTCTGGACGCCTTCCCCGGGACCGGCTCCTCGTCCTGAGCCGTTGTGTGGACGGCCCCGAGGCCCAGTTCAGGGCCCCCCGAGGCCGGAACGGGCGAGGAACCTCCCGTCGTGATTTCTGCACGGCGCGAGGAGGTCTGGGGGGAGGAGGAGGTGGAGGAGGAGGAGGAGGAGGAGGAGGAGGAGGAGGAGGAAGAGGAGGGAGGAGGAGGAGGAGTAGGCGGATGGAGGATGGAGAGGAAGAGGAAGAGGGCGAGGTCTAGAAGCCGCTTGCGTTTGACTTCGAGGAGGGCCGCAGGGTGCGGTCGTCGCCCCCGACGTGCGCGCCGCCCCCGAGGGCCCAGGGCGGCCCCTGGCCAGGCGCGGTGGGAGCACACGGGGCGCCCGCGGGCGGAGGGGCCCAGCGCCCGCTGCTGGCCGTCCAAGGAGCTCAGGAGCAGGTCCTCCGCCTCCGAGAACCGCTCCGTCGCCTTCGGCGATGCTCTTCCTCCTCCTCCTCCTCCTCCTCCTCCTCCTCCTCATCCTCATCATCATCATCATCATCATCATCAGCATCATCAGCAATCAGCATCAGCATCATCATCATCATCATCATCATCATCTCATCATCATCATCATCATATCAGCATCCATCATCATCATCATCATCATCATCATCATCATCATCATCATCATCATCATCATCATCATCATCATCATCATCATCATCATCATCAGCATCAGCATCATCATTATTATTATTATTATTACTATTATTAATATGATTATCATTATTATTATTATTATTAATAATAATAATAATAATAATAATAATAATAATAATAATAATAATAATAATAATATGAATAATAATATACTTATTATTATCATCATCATTATTATTATCATCATCCCCCCCTCCTCCCCCTTCCCCGCCCCCTTCTCTTCCTCCTCCCACCCCTCCTCTCTCATATTATCCTCCTCCTCCTCCCTCCTCCTCCTCCTCCTCCTCCTCCTCCTCCCCTTCCTTTGCGAAAGAAGAAACGGCGGAATCGCCGAAGCCGCCGTTTTTCTTTCGCAATCCTGCTGCCTCGGCCCTCACGGCCTCGCGGTCCTCTCCTGGCGGACCGGGGGAGAACATATGAGATGACTTTGGGAGCGCGGTGGACCGCCAGTGGCTCAGCACCCTCGCTCTGCACGTCCGCGCGTGGGCAACCCAAATGCCTCCTCCTCCTCCTCTTCCCTCCTCTTTCCTCCCCCTCCCCCTCCTCCCTCGTTTGTCCTCCAATATCCCCCTCCCACCTGTCCCCCTCTCTCCTCCTGTCCCCTCCACTTGCCTCCTCCCCCCTCACTTCTCCTCACCCTGTAAAAACCCTTGCCCCACATAATCATAGCATTGGTCTGCAAAGCCACAGCTCCGTGGATAGCATCATGCCTCACATTCAGTGCCCTGGTGGATCTAATGTTCTGTGGGTCCGCGATATGAATTACTACCAGACTCAATTCCAGAAAAATAAATGTATCCGTTCTTGTTTCACACACGGGAAATTGGATCCGCGCAACACAGAGTTATGATCCATGAAACTGCTACACACCAAGAAAGAGATCACATTGGATCCATAGGTGTTGCCCGATGTTCAATATAAAAGACTTTCGGCCTGGGGATGTATGTTGGCCTCCTTGGGGGGACCCTGATTGAGGAGCCCCCCTCCTTTGATCAATCTCTTCCCAGATGGCCCCGGCTCCCGATTCTCCACACACTGAATGCACAGCAGCAAGATGCCTGTGTCTTGGCTGCTAAGAACGAAAAGTCAAGGAAGAGGCGCGTCGCCGCGCTGAAGGCGGACGACAACGCCGGCTAGGCTGGACGCCGGGCGGCCTTTGGGAGCCGGCGCCCAGGCAGGCGACCGCAAGGGGTCGGGAACCATTAGCCGTGCGACGCGACGGCCGGTGCCGCGCGCGCGGGACCACCTAGACCACCACCACCACCAGCAGACCCGGGGGGCGGATAGAGGAGGGCACGGGGGTCGTCGTCGTCCCGCCGAAGCCTGGTCCGCCGCGGGCTCTCCCCGGCCGCCTCGTCGCGAGTCCGCCGCCTCGCCGCCAAGCCCGGGGCCGCCCCAGCCTGGCCAGAATCGCCCCGTTGGGAGACTTGTACCGCGCCGTCTTGGCGGTCGTCGTCGCCAAGGCCGCCGCCGGGGCCGCCGCCGGGGTCGCCTGCCGGGCCGCCGTCGCCAGGGCCGCCGCCGAGGCCGCCGCCGCAATCGCCGCCCAGGCCGCCGCTGGGGCCTGCCGGGGAACCCCACGCCGCCACCACCGCCGCAGCAGCGGCCAGCACGTCCGCGGAGCGGGCGCCAGACGCCTCGGGAGGGGGAGGAGGGGTAGCCCGAAGGACCTCGAGGCCGAGGCGGCAGGCTGCGACCTGCAGCTGGGCCCGGCGCTCGACCGAGGGCCCGGCGCCAAAAGTGACCCAGCCGGATTTGGCCGTGACACGCGGCTGGGCACCCCACCAGCCTGCCGGGATGCCGACCTCGGTGCCGAGCCGGGCGCGGGCGTCGTCGAACCGCGGGCAGGCGGCCCAGAGGTGCCGCGCCGAGCACAACAGCTCCGGGCACCAGGGGCAAGCCTTAGTGCACTTGCCACGTCCGCGGCGGGTGGGGGTCCGGGCAGCCCCGCCCCGCCAGACACTAAGCAGAGAGCGCGACTGCGGGCAGAGACTCTGCCGCCAGTCCCGCCACGCAGGCGCGCTCGACGCCTCGACATCGATGGCCTCGATGCCCTCCTCGTCGTTCCGGGGCGGCCGACATTGGCGGGGCTGAAGGAGGCGAGACCGGGCGACGACCCGGAGGGCGTGCTGGCCGCGCTCGCCAGAGGCGTCAAAAGCTCCCGCGAGGGCCGGATACCCTAAGAGAGCGGCCAAGGCAGGTGGGACCGCAGCGCTCTGCACGGCGGCCCGGGCGCGAGGGTCCGCGAGACCCCCGGCCACCAGCCAGACACCCGGGACAGGGACAGGCGGAGCCAGGCGAAGCCCGAAGGAAGCGGCATGGTGTTCCACCGAAGAGGACCACAGGGGCGACATGGGGTAGCCGCCCGCCACCTAGAGCGCCTGCAAGGAGGTCCCGTACGCAGGGTGCAGAGCGAGCCGCTCCGCCCACCACGTGCAGCACGTGCGGGAAACGCTTCGGAACGTCAACCGCGTGAGCTCCGCGGGCGGTGAGCAGACGAACGGGGCCGCCCAGCGCCACTTGGACGCCACGCACTGGACCCAGGCACGCTCCCGGATCTCCGCGGACCCGGGCAGGGTAGCGAGGCGTGTGGTCAGATCCGTAACCTTGCTCCATCCATCCCTCGGCTGGGGAACCGGGGGCTGGGCGAGGGCCGAGGACGCGGCCCCCCGGATGCCGAGGTGCTCGGCGGTCTCCGCGCCCTCCCAGAGCTGCCTCTTGCCCAGGTTCTCAACCACGCCGAGGAGAGGGTCGAGAGCCTCGGTGGCAGCGAGAGCAGCGTCCCTCGCCCCCCTGTCAGCCGCCTTCAAAGACCGATCGTCCACATACGACCAGTCCCCAGCGGGGGGTTGGAGGGCCCTGAGCCGAGCGTGCCACGGGGCCAAGACGCAGCTGAGGGTACGACCGCTGCACGGGCACCCCGCCGGCAGCCTCCGGACCGGGTGCAGGGGATCACTAAGGCAACCCCCCACCGAGCAGAAGCGAGGCGCCCGCCAAGTCTGCACCAGGAAGCGCACCACGGCCGGCGGCGTGCCTTGGTGGAGAAGGGCGTCGGTAGCGACCTGGTGGGCGACCGAGTCGTACGCCTTCTGCATATCCACCTCAGCTCCGGCCTCGCCCGGCGCGGCGGCCCAGTCCGCGAAGGACCGCACCGCCCCTTTCTCCCCCCCAGGCGCCGTCGGGGGCAGGCGGGAGGGAGCGGAGCAAGCAGCTATGCCACGCCCGGAGCCACGCGGGAGCGACCGCCACGGGGCGAGCATCGTCAGAGCCCCGTTTCGGGATACCCGCGACCCGGAGCCCGGCAAAACGCAGCGACCGAGAAGCCGGCCACACATCAGGATCCAGGACGACCCGGACGAGCACCAAACGAAGCTCTTCGGCGAGGCGCGGCATGTGTTTCGCAATCGCCCCCAGCTCGCTGGAATCCCACCCGTCGAGGCCGGCCGTGCCAGAGGCATGCGAGAGAGCCTCCCTCCAACCCTCCGGGGTGGGCGGGCGCCACGGCAGGGCCGCCGCCCGGGGGACCCCCGTGTCAGCGGCCGCGCGTGGCCAGTCCGGTCTGCCGTCCGGAGGGGCCGGGCGATCGGGGGGGCACCACCACGGCTCCCAGGCGGTTCGCATGTCGTTCGCGGTAACGACGGGGGGCGGCAGCCTCGGTCGCAAGTAGCCCGCCGCGGCCGCCGAGGAGCGAGCGTCCCACCGACGGAACTGCTCGCGCCACAGCGCAGAAGAAGCCTTAGCGTCCACCGCGTCCTCAGCGGAGATGGCCTTAGATAGCGCCTCGGCCGCGTCGCCTAAGCAGGGAGGAAGCCGGCCGATCGCGAGGCCGTCGCGGCAGGCAGCGGCCCAGTGCCTGAGGAGGAGGGCTGGGGGAGGGGCCTGTGGCCCCGCGCGCCTGGTCTCATGGACCACCCGCCGGTGCAGCCGAGCTAAGCGCCGTTGCCGGACCGTCGCGGCCGGCCGGTGCGCGGCCGTAGGGGCGATCGGCCGAGAGCTGGGCAGGGGCCCCTTAGCGCGCTCTGGCCGCCGGGAAACCTCGGCGAGTCCTAAAGACACGGCCGCCTGGAAAGCAGCCTCGGCGCGGGCGTGCCACGAACCGAGCGCCCGGCATGCCCAATCCTCGTCGCCGTCGTCGCCGCTGGCCGTCCTGGAGGGGGGAGGCCCTGCGCCAAGCCTGAGTGCCGCGGGCAGGGGCGCCGGCATGCCCCCCCAGTCGTCGGCGGCCGCCTCGAGCAGCCGGCGCTCCTCAGTTGTTGGGGGGCGGAGCCAGCGGTAAAGGGCAGTGCGGCGAAGCCGCTCCTGTTGCAGCGGCAAGGGCGCGAGGGTCCCGAGGCCGAACGCCATGCCAAGATGATGGGGCACCCCAGGGAGGGGAGCAGCATCTTCGAGCCGAGGGGAACAGCCGTACCCAAGGCACCTGGTCGGGGCCGCCCTGCCACGGGTGGTGCTGGGGTGGGGCGGAAGGGCAACCCACGGCGCCTGGGCAAGAAAATCGTACGATTTCCGCCAGTTCAAATCACCGACGACCACGCTCGAGCCAGGTCCGGCCGCGGCGGACGAGGAATCGAGGGTTTCGGCAACCCACGGGATGTCCGGCCCGGCAGCGGGGCCGTAGGCCGACGTGACCACGACGCGATCGAACCGCCGGGAGCAGCGTCGCCAATCCTAAGGATCGCTGACCGGGGTCCCCCTGCCCATCTCAGCTTTCCACAACACAGCGCACCCGCCCTCCCGAAGAGGAGCGGTCCGCCCGGGGCGAGAGCGATGGGAGGAGGCCTTGGGCGGCGGGGAGGCCGACCACTGGACCCTCCAGCCCCGCGCAGCCAGGACGGCGGGAGCCCACCGGCAGCCGTCGGCGGGGTGCCGCGTCTCCTGCAGGGCCACGACCGAAGCCCGCACCTGAGCGGCCCGATCGAGCACGGCATCGAGCCGGGCGCGCGTGAGCAGAGTCACGTTGACAGAGAGGCAGCGGACGTCGTCCGAGGCGGCGGCAGCATCCTGGGTGGCCTCAGCTCCACCGACGAGAAGAGGAGGGAGAGGGGAGAAGGGGGGAGGAGGGGAGGGAGCGGGAAGGGGAGAAGGGGAGAGGGGAGGGAGGGGAGGGGAGGACGAGGAGGGGAAGGAGGAGGAGAGGCGAGGGAGGGGAGGGGAAGAGGAGGCGGTGGACGAGGCCCCCAGGAGTCAAGACCCCGCAGCCGCAGGCCGCTTTCGAGCCCGAACACCGGAGGGCGAAGCACGATTACCCGCGCGCTCGCGCCAAGCACGGTTCCGCTCCAACACCCGGTCCCGAAACCCGTCCTCGTTCGACCCGTACCGAACCCGCCTCGCGGCTTTAATCCCTTCGCCGAGAATAGCCCACCGCCGCCGGGCGGCCTCCTGGAGGCGCGCCCGGTTAGCAGCATAGTACGCGCGAGCGTGGGCGTTGAGCGCAGGCCCGCGCTTCCGCCGCGCGTCGGCGTTGTACCGCGCCACCTGCTCCTTAGGCCGAGGGGGGCGCGGAGCGAGCCCGATGGCCGACCGCCACTCGCCCGCCGTGAGACCTGGGGGCCGGCGCTTGCAGGGGGCTCTCTTGAAGGCAGCTAGAGCCTCCTGCCGGCCGCACGCACGGCAGCCGTACGCCCAGCAGCCGTCCTGTCGGGGGAAGGGGACCCCGAACTCCGGATCGCAGGCCGCAGCTCGAGCCTCAGCGGGGAGGGCGGCGCGCCACGCCGTGTAAGCAGCCTCCCGGGCCGGCCGCCGGCCCGCGGCGCTCTCGCGGAAGGTGCGCTTGGCCCTGGCGGACCGAAGAGCCTTAGTCGGCACTCGGGGGGGGTCCCGGCCCTCGCCAAACCGACAAACCCTCCAGTGCCGGCGGGCCTGTTCCCGCAACCTGAGGCCCGCGGGGACCCAGCCGCACGGGCACTGGAAGAGGCCCGCGACCCCGTCGTCGAGGCAGTCGCCGAGGGCCGCCACGTCCCCCACCGACCCCGCCTGGGAGGGGGCGCGGCGGCTGGAGGCGGCGGGAGCAGGAGGTGGGGGCGAAGCGGTAGCAGCGGCAGGGGGAGGGGCCGCTGAGGGTGTCCGGGGGCGCCGCACCCCGAGCAGACTGGCCGCCGCCCTCTCGGAGAGGGCCAGAGGCGTGGAAGGGGCCCCGCTGCCAACGGCGTCGCTGCTAGCTCGCCCGGACCGAATGCCCAGGAGAGACCAGGCAGCGGCCGAACCGACGCGAGAGCCACCGTCGCCACCCTGCCGGGGGAGGCCCAGCAGCGACCGGTCCGACCGGGCATCCCCGAAGCCAGGGAGGGGGAAGTGCTTCGACCCCCGCCACGCAAGAGCATAATGGCGTCGTCAGCCGTACCCGGCTGCTCTGCCGCGGGAGCGGCGGCGGCCGCAGCTAAGGCCGGGGCGTCAGCAGGGGGCGCAGCGCCGTCTGCCGCCGCCGCCGCAGCGCCCTCGGTCTTCAAGGCCATGTGGGGGGGAGCGGCGGGTTCGGCCTCAGGGGGTTCGTCAACCGTTATCACCTCCATGGCCGCAGCGGGGCCCTGCGAAAGGAACCTGCGCACAGCGCTCTCGTCGTCGCCGGGGCCCAAGACCACCCCGTCCTTCTCCCAAGCCCCCCAGGGGGCCGACCTCCCGGGGCGCTCGGAGAGCAGCTGGTAGTGTTCGGCTTCGAGGATGAGACCGACCGACGGCTGTTTAGCGCCAGCCTTCCCCTGCTTGCCCCGAATCACGACGTGGGCCCAGCGGGCGGCGCCGCCGGACGCACTGGCAGGGACCCACGCCCACACCCGAAAAGTTCGTCCCACCTGGGCGGCCAGAGCGCGGAGGGCCCGAACGTCGCCGAACTCCCCAGACTTCAACATCTTTTGGGCCACAGCGTCGGCGTCCACAGGGTACATACCATGGAGCTCTGGGTTCTTCCGGATCTCCGCAGCAGCCCACGCGCGAAGCTGGCCCTGCAAGGGCCCGCCCGGCCGCATCAGAGCCGGGTCCGCCGTCTTCCCGGCCTGAGCGTTCAGGCCGCTGGCAATGGCCAAGTAAAGGCAATCGCCCGCGCCACCGCATTCGGTCCGGAGGCACGTGGCTTCCCAAGGAGGCGCCCCAGGGCCCGACGCAGCACCAGCCCCGGGCACGGCAGGCGGGGGCGGGGGCGGGGGCGGGGGTCCGGCGGCAGCCGCGGCAGCGGTCCGTTTGTTGCCGGCTGGAGGCGCAGCAGCACTCACCTTAGCAGTCGCCGACTTCTGGGGTTCACTAACGCCCCACTGCCCTCGCGCCGTCGCGGCGGCCGGCGCGCGTTTCTGTTTCGAGGCCGCCGCTGGGGCGAGGGCGATCCCCGACGCGAAAACAACGCCTCCGGCCCACCCCCCGCCCTCCGGAGGCCAAGCCCGAAAGGTGAGATCCGTGCGGCCTCGGCGAGCGACGCCGCAAACCTCAGTAGCCCCTCGGTCGCGGGCCCACTCGGCGGCGTCCTGGATAGTCCACGCCACGGGGACGTTGGAGGCGTACCAGCGCGGGGCCACGAGGGCAGACTTATCGCCCGCAGGAGGGCCCCAGACACCTAAGTTGGATCCCCCTCCCGGCCGATACGCAAGCCGGCCGCTAGTCAGAGCGGCCATCTGCGCGGCCTCGCCCAAGTAATCCTTAGCCGACATGTCTTTCCTAGCGAGCCAGCTCGGCGCCGATGCCCCCTCGGGGCCAGCCCTATGGAGCCCTACGAAGACGCCGGGCGTGGGAGCCATAGAGAGGAACTGGTCGCAGTCCACCCGCTTGACTGTCAGCAGCGTCGTGGCCTCGTCTGGGTAGCTGACCGTCGCCGTGGTCCGAAGGACCAGGGGGCGGAGCGCCTTAGGGAGAGCCGCGGCGGGCAACGCGGCGGGCGCCTTAGCCACCTGTTCCCACAGCCCCTGATCGGCGTACTCGCGCGCCACCGTGAGGCGGAGGCGGCGAGTCTCGCCCCCTTGGGGGGCGGCAGTGTCATCGTTGGCCGTCGGCGCGCCGACGGAGCTCTTCGGGGGGTCATCGCCGTGCTGCTCGACCGTAGCCTCCGCGGGCAACGGGCCAAACCTCCCTCGGACGAGGACCCGGGAAATGCCGCCCGGATGAACCCAGACCAGCGTGGTACCCGCTTCACGGGCGCACGCCTTGACCCAGTCCCGAGCCTCAGAAAGTTCCTGCGCGGAGGAGGCGGCAACAACAAGAGGAGCGGCGGGGTCCGCCGTGCCGACCTGAGAGGCCGAGATCACCCGAGCGCCTGGCCATGCCGGCTCCCAGAGGACCTTAGGATGGCGAGCGTCCTTAGCCGCGGGGGCCGGAGACGCCGCGACCGCCCCCCTCTGGCGGAAGAGGTCCGCCCAGACGCGCGGACCCGCCTGGGCAGCAGCGGGGACTGGATCACCCCCCGTATTCTTGCCAGGAGCGGGAGGCTTGGCCGTAGCGCCGGCGCCCCCTCCGCCGCCGCGTGGGCCAGGGGGCTCCGAAGGCCTCGAGGGGGTTCCCGAACTCTTCGCGGCCAATGCCGTGGTGAGCCGCGCGGCAAGGGACGCCAGCGCCGCGTCGGAGGGCGGCTCGGCCGAGTCGAGCATGGTCCGGAGGAGCGGAGCCAGATCGGACCACATCCCCTCCCCGTCCGGAGCGGTCTCCCCCGTCGACCGGTCCTGGGCGCGATCGGACGGAGACGCCGCAGAGCCGACGCGGACCCACGGCCGCCGACGAGCCTGCTTGCGAGGCCGTCCACGGCGAGGCGCCCCCCGCCGCTGAGCCTCAGCCAAGGTCTGGACCTGATCGGATAGAGCAGCAACCTGAGCAGTGAGGGCGGCGATCTGATCATCGGGACCCCCTGCCCCACCCGCGAGAAGACCGGGCAGACTGGGTCCCGGGCACCCGAACACGACCGACGCCTCCCCCACCACCCGAGCCGCCTCCGTCCCCAGGGACGGGCCGTCGTTTGGGTGGGGCCGCCAGGGAGGGTCCGCCGAACCGCCAGAGGATGCCGCCGAGGGAGGGGCGGAAGCGTTCTCGGGGGCCGCCGGGGCCGCCAGGGGGGCCGCCAAGGTAGCCTCGGTGCGTCCATGGGCATTCCCAGGAGTCGCCCCGTTCGCCGCCAGATTGCCGGACCCAGAGGCAACGTCGTCCTGTGCATCCTGGTCACTATCACCGGTATCCGACTGGAAAGAGCTGTCGGGAACGTCGAAACAGTCGTCGAGGGGGTCAGCGGAGGGCGGGGGACCAGAACCGCACCCACGACCCCACCGAATCCTGACCTCCCTCAAAAATGGGGGAGAATTCTGATGCAGACGCCGAGCCTGCCAGCACCGCGACGGCACCCGACTCCGGCCGGCCCGACGAGCACGTAGCAAAATGAAGCGGTGCCGCCGCCTGTCGGCGCGGCGGTGGGCGAGCCACCAACTGGAAGCGACGATGGGGAGACACCCGATCGCGATCAGAAGCGTCCAACAGCTGCCAAGGCCAACGAGTGCATGCCTCGCCACCGGCCCCCGATCCTCGACAGCGTGCGAGTCGTTGCAACGCACGGGGGATGCGAAAGAGAAGAGAGAGATGGGGGCAAGAGGCTCACGGCGGATCGCGGTCGCCTTACGACCCCGCTCTGCACTGAGGCGGCTCACGTCACGGCAGCCCGTGCCGAAGGACAGCTCCACGAGCTCGCCGGAGGACTGCAGCGCGCCAGGCTCCGCCGTGACACCGAGGCCCGCCGTGTCGTAGATGTCGCTCGGGCACGTCTCGCCCGCCAGATTGGTGTGCCCACGCCGGCGCAGGCACGCGTGGTGTATCCACCGCACGACTGGGAGCCTGGAGACGGGCACCCGGACGCCGCTGCTGGCGGCGATGCGCCGCAGGCAGAGCAGCAGCGAGGACACCGACGGGTGTCCGAGAGCGCTCTCGCCGTGGCCACCAACGTCCTCACCCCCGCCATTGCGGCAAACGGGGGGGCACTCCGCCAACCCCACGTAGTCGGAGAGGCCATGCACGCAGCACGCGGCGGCGTCCCGCGCGTTCTTCAAGTAGCCCCTGTCGAGCGCGCAGTACTGGTTCAGGTAATCCACGCCCTCAGGGAACTGCCGCCGAGTCCAGAGTGCGTCGCCATTGAGGCCCGCCAGCCGCCAGCGGGCCGTCCGAGCCGAGTCGGCAGACTCGCGCCCCGCCATCAGCGCCTGGGATGCGCAGTCCTGGTCGCTCGTGCGCCCCCGCCCCACGGCGTCCAAGGCGGCGGCTGAGCCCGCGGACCGGAGCGCCCCCAGGGAGCTGCCCGCGTGCCGGGCCGCCGCCGCGACGAGGCTGTGCCCGTGCGCCCGCGCCTCGCTCTCGACCAGGAGATGCTCGCTCTGGGCCAGCAACTCGCCCTCCGGGAGAGCGCCGATCACCTGCCCGCCGATGACGCCGGCGAGGCAGACGTCGGCCGCCGCCGCGGCTTGCGGCTCGCCGTCGCCCGGCAGGCCGCATAGCTCGAACCACCGAGGCCCGTTGGAGAGGCCGTCCACCGAGTAGGGGATGAGAAGCGGCACGCCGGCCGAGTTACCCACGACGCACGTACCGTACCCACGAACGAGGAGCTGCCACACGCCCCAGCGCCTCGCCGACGGAGTCCACGTGCAGCACGCGGTCCGTCCCAGCGGTCACGACGGACACGAGGCCCGGCTCTGACGCGTTCTGGACGGGCAACCGCGCGCCGAAGCTGGAGTGCCCCGAGAGGAGCACCACCACTGGCCGCGCGAGCATCACCTGCCCGAGGCCGCCGCAGGCGAGGCAGGAGTCGTCCGCCGCCGCGCCCTGCCGCCCGTTGCCGCTGACGTCGCCCGACGGTCCGCGCGGCCTGGTGCCCGCGCGCAGGCGCCCTGCAGCCGGCGGCAAACCGGAGAGGGCCACCGTGAGCAGCGCCGCCGCCACTGCAGCTGACAGCGCAGCGCGCCGGCGCAGCGCCATGGCAGCGCGCCGCCGCTGAGGAAACGACCGAGGAAATACACAGAGGAAGCTTTGTCCTATTGTAGCAATGGCTTGAGCCAAAATGGCTTGAGCCAAAATGGCTTGAGCCAAAATGGCTACGGCCCCAAGACGGCCCCAGGAGGTGCCCAGGAGGCCCCAAGAGGCCCCGAAGAGGCCGCCATGAGGCCCCAGAGAGACCCCCAAGACGCCCCAAGATGCCCCTCAGAGGCACCCAAGACGCCCCAAGAGGCCTCGGCGAGAAGGCCAACATCATTGAATGCACAAGATGTTGGCCACATTTTAGCCTCATGGGGGGACTCGAAGAAAGGAGCCCCTCTGTTGATCGATCTCTCCAAAAACGGCCCCAAGATGGCCCGCGAGGCTCCCAAGGGATGCCCCATGACGGCCCCAAGACGCCCCCTCGATGCCCCCAAAATGCCCCCAAGAGACTCCAGGCTCCTCAAAGACCCCCTGGAGGCTCCACGAGGCCTCCGAAAGGGACCCACAACGCCCTAAGTGGCCTCCAGGACAGCCAAAAGAATCCCAAGACGCCCCAAGAGGACTCCAAGAAACTCTCGAAAGAAGTCCAAACACACTCCTAGAAGCATCCAAGAGGCCTTCGGCTTTTCTGCTCGCCCTCATAAACCTCCTTCCCCCTCCTCTCCCTCATCCGCCTGTTCATCCTCCTTCCTTGTTCCTCCTCCCCATGTCCCTCCTCCTCCTCATCCTCCTCCTCCTACTCCTCCTCCTCCTCCTCCTCCTCCTCCTCCTCCTCCTCCTCCTCCCCCTCCTCCTCCTCCTCCTCCTCCTCCTCCTCCTCCTCCTCGTCCTCGTCCTCCTCCTCCTCCTCCTCCTCCTCCTCGTCCTCGTCCTCCTCCTCCTCCTCCTCCTCCTCATCCTCCTCCTCTTCCTCTTCCTCCTCCTGCTCCTCCTCCGACTCGTCCTCCATCCCACCCGTCTTGGAATACGCCCTCTCACTCAACCATTAATTGCACTGCATCATACTCAACATCCCTGATCAGAGCAACTCGTCTGGACATCGTTTCTGGATGGGCTGGTGGATGCACGCGAAGCGTCTGGGAATGAATCAGATATTCGGATGTCAGGAGGAGGCTGGTACTGACGCCGGCGATGGAACGTGTGGAGTTCTCGCCACGACGGCGACGAAAGCGACGACGTCGCCTTCAGCAGGACCGCCAGGTTGTTCATCGACTGCAGGGTGTCAGGGTGCTCGCTGCCCAACCTCGCCGCCCTCGCCTGCAGCACCTTTCGGGCGTTCGGAAAAGGTGAGTTCGGCCAGATGTGGGGCTGGAAAAACATGCGATGGCCAGCCCATGAATAAAAAACGTTAGCTTCTGGACGGGCTCGCCCTCATAAATCACTTCGGGATGCACCCCCCCTCCTTACGGACTCTCGAAACCGTGGGAGGGACAACGATGGCCCTCCGAAGAAATGGTTCCTTATCCTCGATGAACTCTTATAGCCGCGCGATAGCTGTAAACAAACAGGAACTGATCGAGATGCCCCTGATATGGGTGGCAGATCCGGGGGCCTTGGTTCAGGGCCCTGCCACTCCCAGGAACTTGATGCTCCAGGGTGGTGGGTGGGTTCTTCAATAAACGCTGGAACCCAAATTGCCACGGACGCCGGGCAGAGAGGAGGATACACTTATGTGCTGGCAGACGGCGGCGTATCCTTGATGAGCCCTAGTAGCGGTGCGATGGCTGTACCAATGGAGGAGGGGATCACGGAGATGCCTCTCTTTCTACTACGGGTGGCGGATCCGGGGGCCCTGGTTCAGGGCCCCTGCCCCCCAAGAAATTGACGCTCCCCCATGCGATGGGCACCGGGATGCCAGGGCCGGGCACCCCCCCCTGCTCTACGAGCATCGGGGGGCCTGCCCTCTTTTGCCGTGGACCCTACCCTTTGCCCTGGCGCCCCCCCTTTGCCCGACCTCGCGCAGAGCTCCCCCCGCCCCCAGGCGGGCAGCCAGGGCGACGGTGGGCGACCTAGGCCGGCGGGGAAGCCCGCCTCACCTTGCTCCTTCGCCCCCGACTCTTCTGGCTTCAGCGCCCCTGCGCGAGGGGCACCGCACCGCGCGCGCGAGAGCGCAGCGCGGGCGCGGTCTTGAAACCCGACCCGCATTTCATAAGGCCCGCCGCCATCGAGGCGCCCCTCCCGCCCAGGACCCCGCCCCCGCCCAGAGCGGAAGGACGGAGGTCCACAGGCAGGAAAGGGCGCTCCCGCCGTGGCGGCGCCCACTGAAGGGCGGGATTCAAGACCATCCCGAAGGCACGCCATCGCCCTGCTGTCGGCCCCCGCCCCGACGGGTCGCGTGGGGCCCCCATGCTGCCGACGCTCTGACAGTCTGGCTCAACCTGTGCGACGCCGCGGTCGGGCCCCCGTCCCGAAGGGTCGCGTGGGGCACCAGCACTGCTGACGATCGTCACAAATCTGGCCCCGCCTGTGCGACGCTGTCTGGGGCGTGCCCGAGCTGGGCTGTCGCCGCGGCCCCAGTCGCACGCGACGCCCGCGGCGCCCGCGGTCGCCCCCCGAGCCCCGAGGCGGGCGCCCTCCCTGCGGCGGCCGCCCTCTCCTCTACGATCGCGCCGAAGAGATGCTGGGGGGCCTTCGCCTTCTCGTCTAGCACGTGCCTCTACGGGTCCGCGACCGCAACGTGGACCCTGAGGGGCGCGTCAAAGTCCGTCGTCTTCATGTTGCCGAGGTCGTCTACCTCCTGACTACTGGCCCGTGTCCTCGCGCGGGGCCAATCCAAGCCCGGCGCTATTTCGCGCGACCTCAGCTCCTCCGAGAGCTCGGCGAGGAGGACCGCCAACGCCACTTGGCCGACGTGGCTCTGGACGCCGCGCATGCGTTTCCCAAGTTGTCTGTCGACTCTCCCACGTTGAAGCTCGCCCCTCGGCGGGGCCCCCAGGCCTCGCGAATAGCTTCGCGCGGGGGATTGCGCCGAGGAGCTCCCGCGCCGCGATGGCCCCGTTCGGGTCTTCTGCCGCGGCGCGCGCCCATGGGGGCCAAGCCCCCTCCGCCTCCAACTCGCGCCAGCGGGCTCTTCGGGTGCTGCCACCCCGCGGCGCTCCCCGGCCGCCCATCCAGGAGCGCCCCGCCGCTGCCTTCGCGCCCGGGCAGAAATGCCCACTCTGCCCCGCATGCCAGCCGCTCACCGATCCACGCCATCGCAAGCCTGTTCGCCCAAGGCAGGGAGATCCTCTGCTCGCCCGCACTTGCGACACGGACATGCCGGGCGCACGCGGGCCACAGGAGCGGCCTCTCCGACGCGAAGACCATCGCGGCGAAGCCCAGACGCCCTGCGCCATCTCGCTCGCGCGGACGGCGCCGCGCCCGCCCGTCTCTCGGCACCAGTCCGCCACCCGCTCGGCACTCGCACCCTAACATCCGAAAGGCCCGCGGCGCTGGCGACGCTTTAGCAGCGGAAGCCAATCCAATCCACCTCGAGGCTGCCACGCGCCATGGCGCCCTGCACTGGGAAGCCGAAGGCGTCGAGGAAGATGGCCATGAAGAGAGCGGCCAATCTCCCACGGCGCCCAATGCCGATCGACCCCAGGTCGCCGGCGAAGGCGAGCTGTCAGTCGCCCAGCCAGCAGAACGTCGCCCGCGGCGCGGCGCCGAACCACCCAGCCCAACACATTACAGTAGGACGCACCAGAACACACGAGCGACTACTAGACGTCCTCCTCGGAGGCGCGCGCTCGACCCGAACGTCTAATGCGCCAATATAGTAGCATTTCTTTCCCCGAGCGGCGCGGCCAGAAAGTGCCCGCCAGGACGCACATACTATGGAATTTTTCGGCGCGCGCGTCGCCCCTGGGCGGGGGCGACGCACGCGAAGCATTAGTATGTTGGGGTGGCGCCTATAGAGTTCGCCCTCGAACTCGCGGGCAACCATGCCCCACTCGTCCTCGCGGATCTCGACGAGCCGACGCGCGCCCTCGACGTCGGTGGCGAGTGAGAAGGTGACTCCGTGCTGGCCCCTGTAATCGAGCTCTTCTTCGCGAGCCTTGGTATCCTCTGGCGGCCCCTGCATCTGACCCAGCCGGTCACTGTGACCTCGTGCGCGCCGTTGTGCACGGGTCGCTTCTTGCCGCTCGCGCTCGCTAGGGCCGCCAACGATGCTATGGCGGACTTGCCCTGGAAGCGGCTGCGCAGCTGTTCCGTGGACATATTGACCATCCTGCCCGACTTCCCCCAATCGCCGCGGTCCCCCGCGCTGCTGAAATTTGCAGTCTCTAGGGGGGCCCAGCTGAGCGCCTCCTGGTCGAGGCGCCACTTCGTGGGCTCCTCGAAAATTCATCTCGCACAGGATGCCCACTGCGACCCCTCTCCAGCCCCTCCATCAAGTCTGCTTCCGGGGCCCCTGCTTCGCACTGGGGCGCGGCCGGCAGGCGGAGGCGGATGGGCTGCCGCGCTGCGGCGCAGTCCAGGTCGTCGCCGTGGCCTGACCGGCATTCTGCTCGAAACCAGCCTCGCGGGCCCTTCCGGCTGCCTCGTAGACCTTCTTCGTCACGAGGTCCGATGGCTCGCTCGGATCGGCCGCGGCCGAGCGCGCCCGGGCCGCCGGCTGGCGCGGGGCGCGCCCCGCGGCTGCCCAGACGCCCATGGAGCGCAAGATCTTCTCGCAGAGCTCAGTCCGCAAGTCGGGCCAGTCCGGGAACTTCCGAAGATCTGCGCCCCAACGACCCAGCGAAAGCAGGCCCGCGCCGCCGTGGATGCCTCTCGGGCCCTCGATGCACTCGCAGCTGCCTGGCGGCCCCGCGCCTCCGAATCGGCAGCGAGGCGTCGAGTGCGCGAGCTCCTTTTCTGCTCGCCGCTCCTTCTCTGGTCGCCATGCTACGATGATGCCCGCGTGGCAGTCGGAACGCGAGCCGCGCTGACACCTGAAGGCGCGGCCGCCGAGCTCCGAGAGCGCCTCGATAAGGTCTGCCTGCGCTGGGAGGCAGTCCGCGAAAGCCGCGCGGCGCCCTTCCTGCCGAAGCGCTCGACGGAGAAGGGCTGCCCCATTTGCTTGCCAGGGTGCTCCTGCCATGGCCCCCGCCGACGCGGACGTCGCCTTTGCCGAGCGGGCCGCTCTCGATGGGGGGCGGCCCCCCATGGCGCCCCCGAGCCCCCAGCCTGCGCGGCGCGGAGGCCCCCCATCCTCGGCGCCCCCGAATCCCCGCCCTGAACCGTGCGCGGGTTCGCCGAGCGGCTCCAGGCGAGGCCCCCCATCTGCCCCCGCGTTGGGCGGCGAATCGCTCGGCCAATTTTCCGATCCCGTGCGCTGCCCACTCGGGGGCCAAGCCGCGGCGCCCGTGTTCTTGGGCGCGCTGTCGCCCGCGTTGCGATCCAGCGACTTGCGCCCTGCCGGGGGCGGCGGCAACGGCCCCAGGCGCTCGCCGTTCGCGTCGAACTGCGGGCCCCCGCCGCGGAGCAGCGGGACGGCGGTTAGCCGTGGAAGCTGACCGATAAAGCGCGATGGCCGCGGGCGCGGCGCGCCGGAGCTTCCCCGGGGGAAGGCCGCGGCGCGGGCGCCGTTTAGGTCGAAGAGTTCGCCCGCCACCGGCAGCTGCCCCGCGCTGGCGGGGCGCTGCCCGCGAAAGCTGGGCGGCGCCGAGGCCCGCGGGCTGCTCTAAAAGGCGGGCTGCCTGCTCGCTGGCTGCTCTTCAGCTGGGCCTTCAGCGCTTGGAAAGCGAAGTCGGCAATCTGGTTGGGCACCCGACAATTCAGCTCCTCGCGGCCCTCCAGCCATGGGAAACCCCACGGGCACTGCGCTGATCGCAGCGCGCGCGGGCCTCGGCGGTTTGTCCACACCGCCCGCGACTAGAGATTGCAAGGCAGCGAGATCACGAGCACGCCCCGCCAGCGGCCAGCTGCCCGAGGTAGTCGCCCTGCAGCGCCGCGTCGGGGAAGTCGGCGTCGCCCCTCCTGACCGCATCACGGATTTTCGACAAAAGCGTGCGCGCGCGCTCTTGCTTCGTCGTCGTCGTCGCCGTCCTCCCTCCTCCCGCGTCGTCGTCGTCGTCGCCTACGTCGTCCTCTATCTTTTCTCGTGTCCGTCGTCGTCGTCCTCTTTGGCGTCGTGGTCGTTTCTGTCGTCAGTCGCCGTGGTCGTCCTTCCTCCTCCTCCTCCCTCGTCGTCGTCGTCGTCCGTCGTCGGCGTCTCGTCGTCGTCCCTCCTATTTCGTCGCCGTCGTCGTCGTCGTTGTCGTCGTCGTCGTCTTCCCTTCTCCTTCGTCGTTGTCGTCGTCGGC